CGCCTGGTGCTGACACGTGGCGCCGAACACAGGGGTAAAACAGCCGATTTTCAAAAATTCATAACTTTCGCATACGAGCTCCGTTTTTGACGTTCTTTATATCCATGCGTAGGTAAAAATAAGATCAGCAACTTTCCTTCTGACTCCGTCGGCTAATTCTCGACCGGTTTTAAATTTAAGAGTATGAGGATATTATACTGTTAAACGACTGCGAAAAATTCGTAACTTCTACATAAGGACTCCGTTTTTGTCTGTCTTTTTATTGTTGAGCTCCTATTAATGAGATCTTCAATTCTTATTTAGGTCGCGTTGGCCAAAAACCGTTCGATCTAAAATTCGAGTTTCGGGTCGTGCACTGCTAGGCCAAATCTTAGAAAAATCATAACTTCCTCATACGAAGTCAGATTTGGGCATTCTTTTTATGCACGCTCTCGGTTTAACGTATACAACTTTCGTTTAGATTACTAAGGCTAAAAAGCACTCTATCGTAAATTCACTATTTACGCCATGTAGTGTCGTGTCGGTTTTGTCGCGAAATTTCGACGGGCCATAACTTCTTCGTTATAACTCGGATTTCGGCGTTCTTTATATGTACGGAACACTTGTGACATATTCTACAACTTTGTTAAGATTACTCCTTCTAAATAATCTTCCATCAAAAGCTCATTTTTGATGCTCATTGTCTCTAAATTGACTAACCCGAATTTGCGGGCGTTACAGACTGGGTCATAGATGCAGCAGACCAAACTTATTACCTAGAACTTGCTCTCAAACACAAGCTGACAGCTGACAACACTCCCAAACTACTAATCAAATGGGCCAACCAAGATACTTCTGCAGCCACATGTGAAGATGCTGAAGAAATAAAAATACACTTCCCTGACTTCCACAGTGGACTCGCGGACGAGTCACTTTTCGAGAGGGAGGGAGTTGATACATCCCAACACTCCCCAAGCCAGATGACATCCCAACAGACAGAACCAGAAGCAGCAACTCGGCCTAATAGAGTTATTAAGAAACTGGCTCGATTCCAAGAATAAAACATGTGACTTTTAGCAAGTCAAGCTCCATCTTTGGATTCCTTCTTTCCTGTTATTTTGCACACATTATCAGTTTCCCACTTCTCCATGTTCCTAGAGTTTAGTTGCACATTTCATGTTTTCTCGTTAGTATTTAATAGTTGTAATTTTTGTTTAATGATCATTCAGAAAATTGCTCCAAGTTCTGTGTTCTTTCTCTTACTTCCTGGGAGGCTGACCTCCTCTAAACTGGTTACATCATACTACTACAAATGTACCATTTTGATGATTTCTCACATCACAAATTCTGTGGTGAGCTCCCATTGACAAATTTGGAGAGCGCATGTCACCCACATCCTCCTAACATGCTTATGATGCATTGACAAGTGAAATGTGTTATAGATGTGATGAATGTTATTTTTACATTGATGTAAATTGTGTTGTTGAAGTAGGAAAAAATATCATCCATCATCGCTGCCACCCACACTCATTAATTTGTGTTATCTCCCAACCCATTTTGTGCAATTGCAAGGCTTGTAGGAGAAGACATGAAGGGATCTTCTATTAATGTAGTACCACTTGTACCAACTTCACCATACACACTGAATGTGCTTTCCTACCAGAAAAATTGTTAATCCAAGAGAAAATAGATGGTGCTTTTCATTATACTCATCCCCTCACCATTTCATATTCCTTCCCCAGAGAAGATCAACGAGCTAAACATTGGCCTAGATGCAGAGTATGTGGTGGTGATTTTTATCGTACGGTGGATCTTTGGATTTACAAATGCGATAAATGTATGTATTATGCCCATTTGGATTGCGCAACATCAAGAAGAGAGCCATTCATGTCCATCTTCTTGTCTCCTGGTAATTTATTAATCTTTTCTTTTCATCATCATTCACTAGTATAGTTATTACAAATTTCATGACCGATTTAATTACGCGTTATTTGAGATATACCAACTAACCAACCTCCCTTTTTATTCCATTTTCAATTAATTTATCAGGTGTTGGCAGAACCAACAAAAACTATAAAGATGTTGACCATCCTGGTCTTCTTCATCTCCCATTCCCTGATGAGACATACAGCCTACCCAAACACTACTTGTTTTTCCAACAAACCACGACTGATCATCATCATCATAAAGTACATGATCACCTAACACATGACAGTCATCCACACCCTCTAATTCTAGTTGATTTGACACTAAGCAACTCCTCATATATTAATTCTTCTTGTTTGTTATTAAAGTGTCATAACCCAATGAAAAAGACTCAATTGCTATGCAATGGATGTCTCAGACCAATCATGTCCACCATGCCTTTTTACATTTGTGCTAATGCTAATGCTAATGATGATGAGATTCAGATTCAGGGGTTTTGCAATAACTTTGCTCTCCATGAGTGGTGCACTCGACTCCCCCCAATAATAGAAAACCATCCAGCCCACCCAGAACATACCCTTGTTCTCATTTACTCAAACATCCCTTATTATTATAATTGTTTTGGTGTGTTTGATTGTGTTGTTTGTGATTTGGCTTGCAACGGATTTGCATTTGGTTGTGTCAAATGTGGATACTATGTTGATATTACCTGTGGGTTTATACCCAAAGAAATCACACATGCACAAAGCTCACCCGAATCACCTTCTTTTACTAGTTAAAGTTAAAGATTGGTATACTTGTTGTATGTGTCTTAGAGATTCTACTCGAGGTCAGGTTTCATTCCATTGCAACATGTGTGATATCTATATACATCCTGGATGTGCTTTGTTATTAGCCGAGACGATCAAGCACAAGTACAACAAGCTTCCCATGCACCTAAGTTACCTCCCGATTGAGAACCATAAGAGCGAATACTTCTGTGAAATTTGTGAGGAGGATTTGAACCCTAATGCATCTTTCTATCATTGTCAACATTCTGCTCTGTCTATACATACCGTTTGTGCTCCATTAATACTTCAGTGCGAGACAAATACATATACATGGGAGCAAAGAAGCATTTATTATTACGTGAATATAAAGTTTGGAGGCATTCATAACACTCTTGGTCACTCACACCCTCTCTCATTTGCTCAAGGTATCGTGTTGGATGGTGAATGTAGCAGGTGTAGTGGGAAATTACAATATAAAATGATATTTAAATGTTTCGATTGTAAGTTTGCAATTGGTTACCGTTGTTGTAAGAACTCTTTCTTGTAATTGTCATTACTCTTTCTTGTATTATATCCCCTTTGTTTTATTTCATGTGTATGATGATACAATAAAGTAACTAATTTAACATGTCCATGCTACCTTTGACTAGAATACGAATTAAGAAAGGATTGGTAAAATTAAAACACAAACAAAACTACTTCATCTAGTGCAAAAAGGAAGTAAAATGTTGTCAATATATTTACAACTTCACTCTCTCCTGATGATATAGATGGTTAGTTTTGACATCCTTATAAAATTGACTCTCAATTGTAATAGGAACTTACCTAAACAATTCTAGATATGTGTCCGGTAACAGGTTGGCTCCTAATATGTTAATGTTAGAACTCATTCTTTTGATGGAACAAAAACAAGAAAGCATATTATGGCCACATACTACGATAACTCGATAAACGTTATAAAAACAATCAAAACAATAGAATAATGATACGATATATAGTACTACATAGTTACATGAATCGTGATGCTCTTATCGCATTCTTGAAAGCAAAGTTTGTCATCAACTCTTCATAATCGGTATTTTCCAATATACCGTTTTCAGTTTTCAATATTTATCATTTCCAATCCATTAAGTTTTTCGTGTGATATTGTAAACCACAAGTAGAATTGTACAACTTTAGTTTTGATCTCTATCAACACACATCATCAATAGTAATATCATAATTGTTTTGATTCTAAGAAGAAACTTGAGATTTTTTTTAGATAAACCTATCAAGAACCCCATATTAGACTAAATTATACGATTCATCCATCGCTCAAGTGTCAAATTGCACGTTTAAAAATTAACTCGGACCGTCCCTGTAATATTTGTTTCTCACTCAGACCATCCTTCAAATCCTGGCACCACTCAGCCCTTGTGGCCATGGAGGTTCGCCTGCAGTGACTCCAGGACATGAGGCAAAGCCTCATGTTTGCAGCGGGGGATTAGTCGGTGCGTGAAAGCTGGCCCGGAAACCCTCGTTAGGGAAGTTCCCTTTCCAAAAAAAAAAAATTGAGTATTTTACCTTTTTTATTTCTTTTTAGATATATTTTTTGATTTGTTTATTATTAACAATTAAAAAGAAAAATAAAAAATAATGCCCACCACCACAAACCCTCAATCTCTACCCTAACCCCACCCGCAACCCTCTATCCTTTCATCATCGGTGTATCTTCTATTTGAGTTGTCGGAGCTAGAGAAAGATGGGTCGCGGGGATATCATCGTCGTCGCCGGAGCTGCTAGGAGAGAGAAAAAGAAGAGCATCACTTCACTTCAACTATGCACCTGCGGTCAGCAGCCACCGGCCACCTCTATAGGCTCCCCTCCATCCCCTTGTTCATTCTACTCGTTTTCCACCATTACCCACCTTTTCCGGCACACCACAACCCACTGCTCTCACCTCCGACTACTAAATCTCAGTCACCTACGCAACGCACCCAAACCACACATTCTCGTTCCCTTTCCTTTTTCCTTCTGCCTTCCCAAACCACACACCACCACCGATCCAGTCAACTCCGACCACTGTTGCAGATATGTCATCGATAGCTGTCCACCACTATCGTTGCACCCCCGATAAACATTCCCAGGCGAATCGTCAGTGACTCTTCCACTTCGAAACCTGCAACTTCGGTCGGTTTCTTGAACTTGGAGTTCGATGATCCTCCTCAAATGTTATTCTACCGATCATGTCAAGGGTTTATGTTCACCGGGGTTCTAGATTCATTTTTCCGGCAACAAGGGTTTCACAAGATCTGTTTTCCGACAAGTGTTTTACCAGATGCGTTTATGTTCACCAGAATCCTTTTGACCAGAGGCATTGTTGGAGAAGGAGACTGAAAAGTTCAAGGATGGTGATGGTGGAGAAGGCAAATGACCAGTGCATTTGTGGAGGTCCGATCGGTGATGGTAGCGGCAGCGGCAGAGCACCGGCAATATCGTGGTGGTGGATGGCGACGTTAATCAGTGGTGACGACGACTTAATCTCATCTGAGATAGAGAATAGCAAAATGAGAGTGATAATAATACTTGGAAGCTTGTGAGGGAGTGGGTGGGTGATTGGAAAGAGACAAGGGTGGGTCAATTAGTTAATGATTTTTTTTAATTATAATTATAATAATAACAGCCTAAAAATAAATAATAAAAAATAAATGCATAAGCGCAAAATAGACATTTTATGTGTAAATGATTTTAGGGACGAAGTGTGCAGTTTTTAACAATATAAGGGACAGTGCAGTTTTTAACGATATAAGGGACATTTCGAATTAAAATTTTAAAATAAAGACTAAATGTGTAATTTGCCACTTCTACCAAGGACGAACTGTGTAATTTACTCCCCTCATTAACAACAATGTGAAAGTCATAAACATTGTTCTAATCAACTAACCGGATGACATAAAACAGTATCAAAATTATAGAAACCAGAGAGAACTAGCAATTAGAAAAATACTCAAAACATAAATTAAATTTTGTAATGCATTGATCCAGTCATTCATAATATGTGTATTAGTGTGTTATGTTCGTTAATCAGCAACACCAATTAAAATATAAAACCAAGAGGCCATCCGATTTAGAAATTATGAATAGTGGCGGACGTAGAAGGTTTTAGTAGGGGTGGCACTAAAAAAAATTTCGAAAAAATTTAAATTAGTAGTGGTACTCGTATTTTAAGCCGGTACACCTAATAGAAAAAACATAAAAAAAATTTACACTACGTGCCGGAATCGGAACAGTGACCCGGGACCCCCCGGGCACCACTAAGGTCCGCCACTGATTATGAATAATAAAATAGTTACATGTTTGATTTCAGTCGACAATACAAAAGAAGAGCGGGAGTACAATAAAAAATGAGAAGCGGAGTCCATTGAATTAATCAAAAAACAAAAAAACAAGAAACGTTGCTTCAACTTTGTTGCAATTTCCACAAATTTGGAATTTTGTAATTGGAATAAAAAGTGAGATCTTGTTTGCCGCAAATCTACATTAGCATATTATTAACACAAATACAGTTTTTAATTTTAAGCCAATTTTTTTTTAAAACGTGAGTTGTTGCAATTTATCAGTGTAGCTTGAGTTCTTGGATTTAGAACACAACATGAGCTTTTATCTTTTGGATTACTTTTGCTAGACGGTGGATTAAATCATATGTAAAATTGGACTCCGTCATGGACCGTGTGTGGTCGTCCACCTTATACATCCTCTAAGACTCCCTAGGTTCGAATCGTTAGTCATATACTCATATATTAATAAAAGTCTCTTTAAATGTGCTAGAATGTTCTTTAAAACTACCGGTTAGGCCTAACAGTATCAAGTGTTGTGCTTATTTCTTGAGATTAAAGTTTGGCATTAGAAATAATTTAAGATTAGACTATCAAAGAAAAAATATGTGCTATAAAACTAATGATTTAAAAGTTTGGATATAACTAATTAGGTTTTTTTTATTTTTTGTTATTTAAAGTAAATTAATGAAATTTAAATTTAAATAAATAAAAAAAGTTATCCAGAATTTATATAATTAACATTAAACTTAAATGAAAGACAAAATTACATAAATGGTCCTAATGGTTAACAAAATCGACCAATTATTACGAATTCTTTACATAGATGGTCCATATGGTTTCAAAATCTTGCAGAGACGGTCCTTTGGGCTAACGGTGTTAACTTTTCAGTTAAGTTCTTTATGAAATGACATATTTGTCCTTCCTGTATAGGGACCATTTATGTAATTTGTTCCTGCCACAGGGACCATTTATGTAATTTTCTCTATTAATTATTATTGTTTTTACTTAATTTATTTATATATTTTAGGATTTAGATGTTTTTAAGGTTTTGTTTGAATATGTTAGTTTAATATTTTTCTTTTATATTTTTTTGTTAATATTTTTTTATTGTTTTGTTCAAATATTTTTTTCTTATTTTTTTGATACTTTTCTAAATACATTTATTGATGTTTCTATTGGAATAACTTCTTCTAATTCTTTTACGTTTTTTTCTAATACATTTTTAATGTTTTTATTAAGTTTTTTTTTTAAGAATTTATAGTTACCGTAATCATAATTCGTAACATAATTCACTTACAATCATGTTTTTCTTTCTTTCTTTTTTTATTTTAATATAAATAAGATTATATAATTATTAGTTTTTAATTCATAGATTTAACTATATAAAACATATAATGTTGTATGAGTATTATTTTTGTAAAGTTTTTTATAAACATTTTTTGTAAAAAAAAAGTGTAAAAATGTTTGTTAAACTTGAATAGGATTAATATAGATAGGCTAATTGGAATATATATGATAACTGGAATTCGAAACGGATGTCGTGTTAATCATAGGCTAATTGAAATTTGTATAGCTTAAAAATACACAAAATGTCTAAAAACAAAAAAAATAACTCGAAAACATTACATTTAAATTCAATGTGAAATGACCTGGTCACTTTCGGCAAGGTTGTGAGGCGGTCTCAGCTTAGCCTATGTCTACCTAATCTATATTAATCGTATTCACCTTTAACAAACTTTTTACACTTCTTTTTTATAAAAATTGTTTATAAAAAAGTTTACGAAAATAATAATTATATAACCTTATATAGTTAAATATTTGAATCAAAAAGTAATTATTATATAACCTGATAAAAGAAAAATGAAAAATGAAAACGTCATTGAAAGTGAATTAAATCACGAATTATAATTACAGTAGTCATGGAATCCTTTAACAAATATAAACATACTAATTGTTAAAATAATATATTCGAACATTTCGTCAAAAAAAAAAATTAGAAAAAAATATTTGAGCAAAACATCAAAATATGTTAGCGAATATATATATATA